TCCACGTACTGAACGACCTTCCTTGTTAGATACCAGATTCCAACAGTCAGAAAGAGTAGAAATAGCATCATGTAACACATGATTTCAAACCATTCGATTTCCCTCATCCTAGTATACAAAGAAAGGTGGACTGGCTAAGTACAGGGATAGTCTCAGGAACAAGGGCCTTCTTCGATGGTCGGCACTATCAGGAAAAGTGTGTCACCTATTTCTTCATAATTGTCCAAGCTCAAAAAGGCGGCAATGATCCGGTGCAGGCCTATCTTCTTCGAGTTGCCTCTTCCGAAGAAAGCGATCAAGTGCAAGGCCAAAGAGCTTGAATGTTAGTCGGTCAATTCCTAATGAAATTTTTTACCTTGAACTTCGACATGATGCCTAAGTCGTAGGCATCAACTTCAGAGCTCGAAACTGACGTTATTTTCAATTAAAAACCAATAAAAAATTGATCATAGAATCAGAGTTACTCGACAAAGTGCTAATCTCTTATGTGGATTGCAGAGCTACTGCTAAATTCACTTTGAAATTGTGGAGTTTCTGAGGTTTGAAAGCGACATTTTTCCAAAGAAGTGTGTTCTTAAATTATGACTTTTGAGAAGGTATGTTGCGAGTCGAATTCTACATTTGATTTGGGATACAATGTATTGATATGAGGCAAATTCTCTGTTCAATGACTGCGCTATATCGAAACAAAAAACCTTCCAAACTCGAAACTGCTCGATACTGTCACTGTACATGTAGCCTTTTGTAACAAAGTGAACATTTTTGGGAAAACTGCACTTGTGGCTATTGGCATGACTAAGGGGCGTCCTACAGAGGAAACTTATGAAAAATCTTCAATCCTAGCTCCCGTACAACTTCGGGATTTTTCGTATCATGCTTAGGCACTGCGTCATTGACTAAGGTCATTAACGTTACTATTGGGCGCAGTATCAAGAAATCCTGCAATCAAAGATGAATGATAGGGTGTATTGACTGCGTGATACAGTGAACGTGAGATATTCGAAAAGAATGAGGCAGCAGTTGGTGGACCGCCTTCCATTTGGTGTATAAATGCATGGTGGAACACCATCAAGCATTCTCCCACTTCGGCCGCTGCAACATGGTCTACGCTTGAGTGCTGGCTTGAGCCTCACGCAAAACCAATTGCGGCGTATGCCAGCTTAGGGCGAGCCATAGTGGAGGAAATTTTGCCTAACACTCCTTCACAGGGCGATACGACCCATCCTTTTAGGGTCTCACATCTCCGGTCACCAGTACCAACTCTCATCTACCTGCATCTGCCTGTAGCTGCATGACTCCATCCAGCAAAGAAACGGCTGGGTATGCACAGTGCAGCTCCGAAGGAGATTCCCGGATTTTTCGTTTTCCGGAATTCTTGTAAGCATCGCAACTTGAGGGCAGTTCCATCAATTCCACTCAATTTGATTGTCCATACCAGCGGCCTGAATGCGATGTCTCTTTCAAAATCTCCCCAACATTGTTTAATCCTGCCCTGGAGCTAAGAGAGGTTTTTTTGTAAGCGAGCTAGAAAGTCTCTTCGTGCATTGTCAATCTTGCGATAACCCTTAGCTTGGCTTTCCATGGAATCAGTTCTGCTTGTACTTACCATATAAAGATGAAGATCGTTATTTGAGCTCGAATCATCGCACTCTAATTACAGTTCTCCGTTCCACAAAATCTAGCTTGCGCATTCAAGCAGTTCTTTGCATTTTCTTGTCTCTGTTGCATTCTTTGAGCCTCACTTTTTTCCCTCTGTTCCCATCAGAATACTATCATCTACGAACATTTGTTATGTTCCCATTCTTTAGGTATGGCTGACGTGAAGAAAGCTTGCTTGGAGTCCTTGAAAGTCGTGCCACTAGGGAAGACACCAGCGGAGACACAACATGGCACAGACTTCTATAAGTAGTGAGTACTACTTTTTAATTGTTTTTGATTGTCAATTGCCGTTTTTGGCAGCAGTTCGTCTTGCGAAGGTCCTGTGCGAACGCATGTTGTGAACAAAACTATCGCTTCGGACGGGACTTGATCCCGCACCTTTTGCTTTATGTTGTTCACAACCCCAGTATGTACTTGTTGCAATTATGGTTACGGTTTATAACTGAGAGTATAATGACAGTACTATAGCTTGTTCGGACATCACCCCGATCTTCGCAAGTACTTCAAAGGTGCTGAGAACTTCACTCCTGACGACGTGCAGAAAAGTGAAAGGTGAACATACGGTGAAAGCTCTCGCAGATCACATGGTCTAGGGTCCTGATTGTTTCAGATTTGCTAAACAGGGCACCGCTTTGGTGATGTCTGTACATATCTTTGCAAACCTCTACGACAATGTGAGTTTATTTATTATTTAGGCAGCATTACATTAAGAGTGAAGGAAATCTTTCGCGATTTAGGACATGGTGTTTCGCGGATTCTGTCGTGATCTAATGAACAGACATGTTGAGAGGAAATTGGATCCTGCCTTGTGGAAGGTGCGTTTTGTAGAACAAATAGGTTCATTTTAACGAATCATAACGAAACTACTTCGACTTCCACTGCTGCACGAATTAATCCAATCTCGGTTTTCCCTCGCTGAATCCTTCGAAACTGTCAACTGATGACGGCCTCTTTCCCACGCAATTTTCATTTTTTTCTTGATATAGTGCGTGTGCTGTACTCAGCACACGCTTCAGAAATAATGCTATTCACCTAGCTAGCTGAGAGACTAAACCTAGGAGGGAAGACTACGGAAAAGAAAGAACACGCCCTAGAGCTCTCCCACCTCCTCAACTCTTGCGGCTTAGTCCCTATAAATTTATCATGAACTCTAACGCTTGCCGTTATTTCAAACGCGTTGGACGGTTTGCTACCTCTTTTTCCCCTGTTTTTCAAACCTTTAGTTACCAAGTACCAACTTTTCTATTTAGGCGTTCTGGGGTATCTGGACTGCATTCCTGGAAAGCAAAGGAGCCTCTCTGAGCGGAGATCAAAAGGCCGCATGGGAGAAGCTGGGAACCACATTCAACGAGGAATGCCAGCAGCACCTCGCCAAGCTTGGACTGCCGCACACGTAAATGGACAGCAACCATCATTTAGATTTTGCGTTCTTTCACATTATCAATTTTTTCACACCCGTTGTTAATCGATTATTTTTACGCCCAATTTTGTAGACAATGAAGTGAGCTTCATATCATGACTCGCACACCTTCACCATACCCCGCACACAATAAAAGATCAGAATTTTTAAACAACCTAGCTTATAGTTCGAAAAGATCAACGAGCTCTTTCGAAGTGGTTTTCGCACATTGTAGAAACGCATGCATGATTTATATGAAGCCTTGCTTCAATTCTGCTGCACAGTGATGAGAGCGTCAAAAAATGGAAAAGCTGCTGACGGCTTCATTCTGTGGTGACAAAGTTTTGCATCAGGTTGGCCAAGGCAGGTTGAAAAAACGGATGTAATATCCTATTCAGTAACCCCTGAGAATATTTTTATCGAGCTAGTAGGTAAAAGTTGTAACAACGTGGAGTGGTATCGACTAGAGGCCAATGGCAATGATGTCAGAACAAGCGCCAAACGAGGCGATGGAATATCTTCCATTGTGGAAGTCTCGAAAGAAGAATCAAGATTTGGTACCAACTCCAAAAAACGGATGACTTAGGTACGCACACTTGCGAAGTTTGGCACGGAAACCTAGCAGAGGTCTGACCGATGATTTAAACAACGAATTATAGAGAGTACAGTGCACTGTGCGTAGTCCTTGTATAGCATGGATAACATGCTGTAACCGGATGCCCCTTGGGAAACTACAGCGCATCGATGTTGACCACCCAACTAGAAGGTGTTTATACAAGAGAATCCTTCTCGGGAGTCTTGCTTTGTTCCCGAACACAATGATGTCAGTTGTGATCACTAGAGACAACATACAGATTTCACGCACAAAATTCACTTTCCGGATAGAAACAAGCTAACGAAAACTTTACTCTTTAGACAGACGAAGGTGGGCCGCGCGACGCCAAAGGCGGGGCATGAGAAAAAAATTCGGCCACTAATCAGGCTCTCTCACGTCTAGCATTTTTGACAGAAGTCTGGCGGGAATTTCAACACGTAACAGTCCTTCCAGTTTCACGATTTGTTTGAAAACAACTGCAATTTTTTGTTCTTCTCGTTCTCATCGAGAATGTAATAATGGTAATGTATAGTAATGTAAGAATATCTTATGGGTTTCAAGCCAGTGATATGAGTGAAGTAGAATCATGATTTTTCCGGGAAGGATTCCTTCGAGGGACCCACATCCTTAGTGGAAAAACGACAACATCGTTCGTGAATCATTTCGAACTTCTGTAAACCTAATGCATGTGCACATTTGGTTGAATATCGAATATCGAATAAGCTTCTGGAGATCTCAGCGAAATAGACCGACTGCAAGGTAGACCGACAGCACACAAGAGAACTTGTGGATAATGCGTGCACCAGAACCTCGCAGAAACAAAAACAGAGTGAATAGCGGCTTACTTCTCCCAACTCGAATCCAATGGATTCCTCTGCATGGGGTATGCCAACAACGAAGGCCTGCCTTTGGTAATATTGAAATATCGATGAATTGAAGAAAAGCTTGTGACAGCGCTGGAGTCCATCTACCGTTCCAGTACGCACACTTCTCTGAAAAATTCGTTCTTGTATCAATGAAGACACCAGCCACTTGGAGAAAAATGATGTTCCTACGTTCAAAATCCCACTTCAAAGAAGCTCCTTTGGCTAAGCTCGTTCCCTCCTCGCTAGCCCTCACATACTGACCACAGAACTCGGGGAGGTTTTGCACCAATCCCTACCATTAACCATGACCTTTAGGACTTCATCACATATTTTGTAACGGTTCAACTTATCAACCTGAGCTCCGCTGGTACTGTAACCACTTTTGCTGGCATTTCAGGCCTTGCTCGGGATCGGACTGAGGCTTTATAAAATGCAGACATAAACCAATACTGTTAGTCACTCAAATATACCTGCTTTATTGTATTCTGTTTGATAACTTATCATAAATCTAAATTGTTGATCACCTGTGTCCATGTTCGACTATCCATAAATCTTGGCATTACGTATACTGCTTGGATTGCTTTGTAGCCGTAACCAAGATGTATAATCACTTTATTGGCTAACGTTTCGGCCGTGTCGCCGTCGTCAGAGCCTGGAAGTAAGTCAAAGATAAGTGCGACCTAGCCTCCAAACACAATTTCGAACTTCAGAGCAATTCGTTCTAGACCATAGGCATCTAGATAGGAGGGGCAAGACACAAGCACTCGTTAGACTCACCTCTAATTACACGACAGGTTACCGCTTAGACCACCGCTATTCTGACCGACAGTGGGTGGCTCCAGGTGACCTGACCTCCGACATAAAGCCGTTGGCGGTCGAAGCCGCACAGGTCGAGGAGCAGCGCGAGTTCATTTGTTATTGACAGGCATTCATCTTTCAAGTTTTTAGTGTTCGCAGGAAGAAACCTCGACCTGTGCGGGCTTCGACCGCCAACGGCTTTATGTCGGAGGTCAGGTCACGGCTGAGGCAATACCATATCAGCAGGGTGGTCAAACTTCAGAGCAATCCGTCTAGAGGTGAGTCTAACGAGTGCTTGTGTCTTGCCCCTCCTATCTAGATGCCTTTAGTCTAGAACGAATTGCTCTGAAGTTCGAAATTGCGTTTGGAGGTTAGATCGCATTTATCTTTGACTTGCTTTTCAGGCTCTGACGAAGGCGACACGGCCGAAACGTTAGCCAATAAAGTGATTATACTATCTTGGTTACGGCTACAAAAGCAATCCAAGCAGTCACATCCTGTGTCTTCTAGCCGCGTCGATTTTCCATGATCTCTGTTTTGTTACCGTAAATTGGACCCATCCTGTAATCAGCCGCGAACACTGAAAACCTGAAAACTATCAAGTAAAGCCAGCTGTTCGGGGTTTGATAAGGTAACATTATTCCATGGGATCACATACATATATCAAATTACTGAAGTACGATACAATTAGAACTACTATTGTGCTGTAGTACAAAATGTAAAGTGTTCTGATAAGGAGCTTCATATAGCAGTTGGACTTTCACCGATGACAGTTGGTCGTTTGTTGAAGTCGACGTGAGGTTTGAATGAGTGAGTATTCAGCGGATTGCGTACGCTTCTGAGGCTGTATAAAAGAGGACGGACACAATATGCACTTACTCTAGCCCTTCAACCTACTTGTGCGCGGGTTTGATGCGGGGCTCAGCGACAATGGAGCTCCGTTTGTGAACCCTTTACATGAAAAGAACAGTGAGTTTCCCTGCCGCACATCGTGCCAGCAATGGAAATTGTTTATTTCTACACCTCAAAATCCTCACAACTCTGAAATCTCTCAAAACTTGAGAAGCGATTGGATTGTGTACGACTTCTTGGATGTTCATTTGAAAATTTGTTCATTTGTATTCCTTATAGAAGAATCATAGCGACCCAAATCAGCAGAACTGCCTATATATTGTCAGTGAGTCAGTTTTCCAGCCTCTCAGACCCTTGATATAAGTTGATGTGATCCGCTTAATGAACTACTCTTCGGCCTAAAACCTTCAGCCGTAACTTTGGCCAGCCACTGCGCTCTACTTCATAGTTCTTCCTCCGCATTACTTCTTTGCCTCAATAGCAAGTACGGCACTTCTATCACCGTTCTGATTCTCCATCTCTTCTGTTTCAGAATGGCTGACGTGAAAAAAGCGTGCATGGCGTCTTTATCGGTGGTGCCACTCGGTAAAACACCGGCGGAGATCCAAAACGGCACAGACTTCTATAAATAGTAAGTAACGATTTGATCCTATCCGAGATCTCCTCATCTGATTAGTGATTCTCCACACTTCAGCTTGTTTGGTCATCATCAAGATCTCCGAAAATACTTCAAGGGCGCTGAGAACTTCACTCCAGACGACGTTCAAAAAAGTGACAGGTGAGGTGTGATGCATAAGGAAGCGCCTGGAGCTTATCGCCATGCTTGTAGATTCGCAAAGCAAGGCACCGCTCTACTGATGACTGTCCATATCTTTGCAAACACCTACGACAATGTAAGTGTCAACTCGTCGTTCCACACATATTATTTGCAATTGTCAGGAGCTGAAAGAAGATTTTAGGAGATGGTATTCCGCTCACTTTGCCGCGATTTAATGGACAGGCACGTTGGCAGAAATGTCGACCCCGCTTTGTGGAAGGTACGTTGGGTGTTTTTATATCCTAGAAGAACGGCACGCCTGAAATGGAAAAGTGTGCAAGTGCAAACAGCGGAACAGTCCAATTATTTATTCAGGGTTTCTGGGGCATTTGGATTGCATTCCTAGAGAGCAAAGGAGCCACTCTGAGCGGAGATCAGAAAGGCCGCATGGGAGAAGCTGGGAGCCACTTTCAACGAGGAGTGCCAGCAGCACCTTGCCAAACTTGGACTTCCCCACACGTAAATAGGACCTTGAACATCTTCATTTAAATATTGTTTTCTCTCGGTTTTTCATATGCACGGATCTAGTGTAAATTGTACTGTCAAATAAACGGTTATAATTCTTACGTTTTCGTGACACTTTGGTGACGAGACATCATAATTTCTCAGTCTCTCTTCGTGTTTCTGAAAAAAGGATTGAAATTGAAAACCACACGGGTAGAATGTGACCATAGGAGAACAACATCTGCGTTGATTACTACGCCGATGTAGCGAAAATCTCAAAAGCACGACCGAGTGGGATGAATTGGATTGAAGCCCACCACCTACTAAGTGATACAGAAGTAACCAAAAAAAATTTTCCTCTAATTTTGATAAGTGCTGATTTCCGTCTACAAAATCAATAATACATTGTACTCGGTCGCGCTCAGTAGGCTCCTGCACAAACGAGACCGCAGCTTTTATCATGTGAACATAATCGAAAGTTTGACAAATTTTCTTGTGCCTTACGAGGTGTTCGGTGGAACGTTTATTGATGGCCTTGACAACACCTTTGGGAAGACATAAGGTTGAGGAGCATAACGGGAATGACTTTGAAATAAGGTGCACGCTGCTGGCTCAAGAGACGGAAATTTCCGCGCGGAAGGCATTAGAAG